AGCTCAGAGCTAGGTCCCTGGTGACTCAGGCCCAGCCCGTAGGAGAGCTGACCCTGTCGTGGGGTGGGCTGCAGGGGTCATGCTCAGGGAAGCAGCCACCCAGGCCAGGTGCTGGAGGTGCCAGGTGGGAGCCCAGGTGGGAGCTGGCAGGTGGGGCATCCTCCCTGCTGGCACCTGTGCTGCTGCTCCCAAGCTAGGCTGGAGCAGGCCCATGGGCTGGATCCTTTGACTTTGCTCCCTCGTGGCTCAGGCGGCAGGAGGGAGCTGAGGCCCATGCTGACCCACCTCTGGCTCTGCAGGTGCAACTTTGGATGAAGGACAAGCCGGAGCTGGAGCAACTGGAGTGTCAGCTGGAGCTGGCTGGGCAGGAGCCTCTGCTCCTGGTCAAAGACAACAATCCCTGTGACCCCACAGTGAAAATCTTACAGCCGCCAGAGCCCACTCTGGACAGAAAGGCCCAGCGCTTCAGCTTCATCTACAGCCCTGGAGAGGACCAGCGGGCTCCCCCGACTGCCAGCCTTCTCTGCAGAATTGCCCTGCAGTACAGCGTGAGTGTGGGCTGTCCCCGCTCCCCGGGGAGGTTGTGTCCTGTTCCTGGCCTAATGGGGCCAAGACACGTGGCCTTGCCCCTCATCTGTCAAACTAGGACACACACCATCCCACCCACCCAGGAGCCATGAGAAGAGGTGCCACAGACCTGTCCCATCCTGCCAGGTGGAGCAGCAGCTGCTGCCTGTGTGGTGCCAGGCTGCTCGTATCTGGTCCCAGAGACTGCACAGCATGTACACCAACCAGCCTGGTGTGCCGGTGGGGGTTTAGCCCCCCACACATAACTTAGATTGGGTTGCTATGCTCAGACAACTCCCCTCCCCTCTTCCGGCAGGGTCGCCTGGCCCAGGTCCTGTGACTGATCCAGGAAGGATCTGCCTCCAGAGCTCCCAGTCTGTGCGCCATGCCCCAGTGGTGGGGTGTGTGTGTGTTGGGGGGCCGGGTCCTCTGTGGGTGACATCCTGTGTCGGCTATTCCCATCACCACTGGGAGGTTAGGCTGGCTTGGGCTCTCTTCCTGGACCAGGGTGGGAGCTGCACACCTTACCCCTTCTCTTTCTCTTTTCTCAGTTTGGGAACAGCACTGTCTTGAAAAAGGCTTTGAAGATGACGCTGCAGGACTCCAAATTCCCTCCCCAGAGTGAGTCTCCCTTTCTGCTGGGTGGTGTGGGGTGGGGTGGGGGGCGCAGAGCTGAGAGCCAGGGTTGCAGCATGTAACTATTTTAGACAGCCATTGAGCTCTGCCTGCGTGTCCTATGCACTGCTCCAGGGTGAGCAGCACACCTGGATCCCTGCCCAGAGCTGGCAAGTGAAGGATTAGTGTCTTTCCTCTGTATGAAGGCAGGAGTTGGGTCATTAGGGACCAGGGTGAACAGAGAGGAGAGAAATACCCAGTAAAACAGAAGCCAGGCTGCAGGCAAGGACTAAGGGGAGAGCATCCAAGTGGGAGCAGTGCCAAGTATGGTCTTTGTCCCACTGGCCTCATCCTGTGTGACTGGCCCTTCGCCTCAGACCACTGCGGACAGCACAGACAAGGCTGGGAGCAAGGGGCAAAAGCAGAGGATTAGCAAATACGCTGGAGGGGGGAACCAAGCCCAGCCTGGTCAGGAGAGGGCAGAGCAAAGCACGTGGCTGAGCGGTGAAGTCCCGCCTGCGGGCAGGGGAGGACAAGTTTGGGGCGGCTGCATGGAGCCTGTGCTGCCCTGGGGAGCCCATTCAGGAACAGGACAGTGGAGATGAAAACACGCAAGGCGATAACCCAGAGGAAGGGAGATAGGGCCGTGCTTGGTCTGAGCGGGTAGCCCGGAACCATCGGCAAAGGCTGGTTATCTTTGGAAGCCAACCCCCCCCGCCCCTCCCGGCTGTGTGGGGAGCAGCTTAGACAGCCTGGGGACTGGGCTGCGTGGACATGGAGAGCAGGGCCAGACACTGCCTTTAGCATCCCTGTGGGGCCTGCCAGAGCCCCAGCACTGGCCTTGCATCCCTTGCGTCAGGATTCACCCCAGCCCCCTTGCTTCTGTCTTCCGCAGCAAATGCCCCTCACTTCCCTGCTGCTGCCCCCACCCTGTGCATCCACCAGTCCCTGCAGAGCTGCTCCAAGGCTTCCCAACCTTTCACTCTGGCAGGGGCCTGCACTGCCACGCTCTTCCCCACCCCTTTCCCTCCCAGTCCCAGGCAGAGATGCCCAATGACCTCCCCAAGAGCCCCGTGAAGTGCCTGATACTGTTGCTGAGGCCCTAAGCTTCAGTGATCAGCGTGAGTGCAGCATGCTCCACCAGCATGGGCTGTCAGTACAGCCCAGAGCCAAGGGAGCCCGGCTGCAATGCAGACGTGAGCTCTGCCAGACCGACCCGAACCGCCTGTGCTGGCCTGAGGCAGAGACAAGGCTTCTGTGCTGGATCACTGAGGCTTCCCCGCCATGCCACATGCCTGCTCAGAGGCCTGGCTCTTGCTGTAAGTCTGGGAAGGAGGAAGGGGCAGACAAGGGCTTTGTCTGCTGACCTCCTGCAGGGGCCATTAGCACTAGTGCCCTTATCATATTCCTAGCAGCTTCCTTCTGCTTTCCATACCCCCTTCCCCGGCTCCCTTTGCCTTCAGCTCCAGCTCCTGTCCTGGCTGCTGTGACAGTGCAGAGTGGGGGGGGGGGGCGGG